AAAAAATTATTTTTCTTACTGGCCCCTGACTTTCATGGCAGTTTTTATTATTTTGTTACAGAGATTAAGAGATGAAAGAGGGTGAATTGATGGGGAATTTAATTCTCCGTCGAACTGTCCTTTTTTCATCCCTTAATCTCTGTAACAAAAGAATAAAAACTGCCATGAAAGTCAGGGGCCCGTAAGAAAAATAATTTTTTCGCGGCGCACACTGACTATTCACCATTCGCCCGCGAATTAAAAATTCACTTCTCCCCTCCTAATTGAGATTAAGGGAGAAAAAAGGACAGTTCGACGGAGAATTAAATTCCCCATCGATTAACCCTCTTTCATCCCTTAATCTCAATTAGGAGGGGAGAAGTGAATTTTTAATTCGCGGGCGAATGGTGAATAGTCAGTGTGCGCCGCGAAAAAATTATTTTTCTCACTGGCCCCTGACTTTCATGGCAGTTTTTATTCTTTTGTTACAGAGATGAAGGGATGAAAGAGGGTTAATCGATGGGGAATTTAATTCTCCGTCGAACTGTCCTTTTTTCTCCCTTAATCTCAATTAGGAAGGGAGAGGTGAATTTTTCATTGCCGGGAGTCACTGTGCGCCGCAATACAATTATTTTTCTTACTGAACCCTGACTTTCATGGCAGTTTTTATTCTTTTGTTACAGAGATGAAGGGATGAAAGAGGGTTAATCGATGGGGAATTTAATTCTCCGTCGAACTGTCCTTTTTTCTCCCTTAATCTCAATTAGGAAGGGAGAGGTGAATTTTTCATTGCCGGGAGTCACTGTGCGCCGCAATACAATTATTTTTCTTACTGAACCCTGACTTTCATGGCAGTTTTTATTCTTTTGTTACAGAGATGAAGGGATGAAAGAGGGTTAATCGATGGGGAATTTAATTCTCCGTCGAACTGTCCTTTTTTCTCCCTTAATCTCAATTAGGAAGGGAGAGGTGAATTTTTCATTGCCGGGAGTCACTGTGCGCCGCAATACAATTATTTTTCTTACTGAACCCTGACTTTCATGGCAGTTTTTATTCTTTTGTTACAGAGATTAAGGAATNTCCTAATTGAGATTAAGGGATGAAAACAGGGCAGTTCGACAGAGAATTAAATTACCCATCAATTAACCCTCTTTCATCCCTTAATCTCTGTAACAAAAGAATA